GATATTTACACCTCTCTTCACCACTTAATGGCTCCAGAGATTTTAGCAAAAAATCTTACAAAGTTAAGTGCTTGGGCAGATATTTACACCTCTCTGTTTGGAAGAGCGTTAATTTTAAACGCTTCCATTTTTTCGATGTTGTGGTACGTAGGCACGATTTGGACACCACCGGACCAGTCCATTAAGGATTTAGGGAGGAGTTCAGCAGCCTTCTTATGGACAACAAATCCAAACAAGCAGAATGTCATATCAAAGGTCGCTTGGAAGCACGTCATCAAGCAGAAGAAGCAAGGGGGTTTGGGCATATTGGACCCGGAGCAGCAAATCAAGGCGCTGCAAACGAAGTGGGTTTCGAAGCTTATCACTCATCCCCAACTTCCATGGGCTCCTCTGGCCTTAGAACACATCAGAAGACTGGCCAAATACAAAACACCGCCTAACATGACAGGGCTGTACTGGGTAATGAGAAAAGGCTGGGCACGAAAGCGTAGGGACAAAGGAGAGGGGATACCCGGGGTAAATGAGGGTAGGGGTGGCTCCTATTGGGCTCAACTCCTCAAGCTCTGGGGAGACATCTTCCCAGCAAGGGTCAGGGAACCCAGCAACAGAGAGGAGGTGCTCCGCCAACCACTATTCTACAACCCTTTGATCAAGGATCAGCAGGGGATGCCGCGTACCTTAACAGCACGGGACTCGAAATGGGGAATGTGGGTGGAACATGGAGTCTGGCAGGTCATACATTTATGGTCAAAAAAGAAACACCGGTGGGAGACAGCACGAGACCTTCGGTACGACACGAAGGGCACCCACAGGTTGCTAGAAAACATGAATGATGTTCTCATCTCCATCCCATCAGAATGGGTAAATTTGCTAGAGAAAGGACCGCAATGGGAGAAGGGGGATTGGGCCACATGGTTACACGAGGATAAGCCGAAAGAGGCCTTCAGGATAAGGGGCAAGACGGGCCCGAGGAATGCATGGTTACTGGCTGATATGTTCCCAATAGAGGAAACAGGGACCACCACCAGTCAGTTGGATAAGACATCTACTACCTCGATTTCAATCTTAAAAAGCGCAGCGCGGAAGGTCAGAGTGGTGGAGACTGACAACTATACGATTTATGCTCCGGATACGGCTCTGGAGGATTTGGAAGTGGACCCGACAAAATGGGCATGGAACATCAGGGGAGGAATACTGAGGGTGGCCAGAAGAATAAGCATACTTCACTACACAACCAAACTGGGGTACAAACTTAGTAGGAGGTCTCACCCACTGGCGGAACCACAGGCTATCCGTTGGGAAAGGAGGTTGGAAGTACCTAGGATGCAGGTCGCTCGATTGCCGTGGCTAGCGTTGAATAGCATAAGGTTAGGTAAGGTCAAAAGCTTGCAATGGCTGATTTTCCATGTGGCGCTCCCGGTCAACGCCAGGTTGTATGAGCGTCGCAGTCACCACCAGGGGGATCAGGTCAACCACAAGTGCCACCTTTGCACGGCTGAAGGGATGGAATCCTTGCTTCATTGTCTGTTAAATGCCCAGAGGCGGCATACGTGTGGGAAGCAGCCAGGGAACTGTGGGGAAAGATCTCAGACGAGTCCTTTCCAGAGGACAGGAGGATCCTCCTTACCGGCATGGACCTTCCGAAGACATGGCATCCGGGACAGAGAAAGGGGTTCCAATTACTGAGACAATATGCATTGTGGACCATATGGAAGAGGAGATGTCATCTGACGATAGGAAAGGGACAAACGAACAGACTAGAGGCCAAGCAAGTTTTGCACAACCTTCTGAAGACGGATATCACGGCCCAATGGCAAAGAACAAGACGGCAAGCTCAGCTGAACCCGGTGAAAGCCCGGGAGATATTTAAGACGTTTCGATAGATAACGTTGGTAAAAGGAAAGATAGCAACAATTGAAGGATACAGATTAGCCTTTCATTGGTTCGAGAATAAGGATCAGCGGGGGCAAGACTAGAATGCTAGGCTCGTAAGGGTAACACTTAAGTTCAGATAGAAGAAGGGGAACAGAGGTGTGTTAAAAGGTTAACAGAGCAGAGTAGGGGTGGGGAAGGGGAAGGTGGCTAGGAAGGATAGGCAGACAGTAGGGTTTAGGGTTTAAGGATTTTGCGGCGCCCAAGTGAAACCTAAGGGTAGGTAAAAGGGTTCTTTCCTTTATTGCTATTTGTCTTTAGTTAATCCAGTTTTGTCTTTGTTTAAGAATGGCATGTAGCCTGACAGGAGAAAGGGTCACTGGAACAGGATCCAGTATGAGCCTAAGGTGGGCAATGGTCCCGGTCTCCCGGGTTGAGATGTGGAGGGATTCCCGGCCTCCTTTTGCTCTATATATAATGAAGCATGCTATTTGTTAAAAAAAAAAAAAAAAAAAAAAAAGAAGCCCGGGTTGTTGCAGAGGTCGGCTTCGGACTTTTTGCAGGTCCCTTTGGAGTTCAGCCATATTTGGTTACCTGACTGGGTCACTGTGCCCAAGCGTATCTATAGGGGGGGAACCCTATAATGTTTATGTGCTAAGTTGCTAACCCTATAGCAAGCTGTGCCGTACCGATCACGGACTGGAAGTACCCCTCAACCCCACCCTGCCCCAGGTGCCATGTTAGGGCGCATGGACATCACTGGCATGATATCTGACAGTTATACAATGTCCAGTCTGTCCAACAATGTGATCCATCAGCTCCCCCAGTCTTCCTTCTCATTGTGGAGGCTATAGCTGCCTTCTAACAGAAATACCCTTCGATACGAAAACTACTAGAACCCAACTCCAGATCTGACAAGACTGCTGTTCCCTTTTTTTCTTTT